CACTTTCTGAGAGTATTTACTGACCACCTACTCTGTGCTCACAAAGATAACAGGATGGGACGTTTATAGGAAAAGTCTCTCGGCTCCCGGACACTACTTTCTCAGTGGTTCCTTCTTCTCCTTCGCTTTTGTCTCTTTATCCTTTGGAGATCTCATCCAGCTCCATGGCTTAAAAACCTTCTACATTCTGCTTTATGATTTCAAACAGATTTCCTCCTTAACCTGTTTCCTGAGTTCCAGACTTGTATTTTCAGTGGCGCACCTGACAGCTCTGCTTGGATATGAATCTCAAGTGTAAAATGCCAAAGACAGAAGCACCCAGACCTCTCCATCCCACCCCATTTCTTTCTTAGCTGAGTTAGGGGTATTTCCCAGTTATTAAGGCAAAAACCCACTAGGCATCTGTGATTCCTCATTCCATATCCAGTCTATCCACAAGTCCTATAAATTCTACCTCCAGGAAATCCAGAATCGATTCACTCCGACTGTCTCCTGCTACCACCACAATCAAGCCACCCCCATTTCTCTCTGGGCCACAGCAAACACCTCCTTACTTGGCCAGTGTTTCCCCTCTGGCCCATATTTCCCCAGGCAATCCCTGTCCCACAGACCAGACAAAGGATGCAGGTAAAACATAAAACAGATCAAGTCAGTCCTCAGATTAAATCCCCCTATGGGCTCCCCCTGTGTTTTGGAACAAAATCAAAGCTACTTTCTGCAGCATCCGGCCCAGCATAAGGCACTGATTTCACCTCCCATTGCTTTCTTCCTTGCGTCCCCTGCTCTCTGCTCTCCAATCACCCTGGTTTTCTCTCTGTTTCTAGAACAAACCAATCCTGTGTCCACCTCAGGGCCTTTAGAATGTGCTCTTTCTGGAACACTTGGAATGTGCTCTTTCTGGAACACTTGCCATCCATCCCGTCATCATTTGGATCTTAGTTCAAATGTCATCCTCTTCTGATGTCCCCTCGCTGCTGCCTGTCACTTGCTGTCACATTTGGTTCTAAGAGCACCAATATCAGAAATAGGCAGATATTTATTTACTGTCTGTCTTCCCCATTGAAAGGTAAGTTTCATGAGAGCTGGATCTTGCCTGACTGCTCAGTGCTCTATCTCCCATTCCTGGAACAATACTAGGCACATAGTGGGAGTTCAGTCAATATTTGTTCTATGAATGAAAACATCTTTGGATGTGGTTCCAGGTGTTCTTAAGGGAGCATGACAAGCCACATGAGGAGTTATCTAAGAACACAGGCAGGAGATGCTAACTCCTCCGTAGGGCGGGAGACAAAATGATTCAGATGTAATTTGATAAGCTGCTATCTGCTTTAGTGTTACTAGATGACAAGATGCTACTCAATAATGGGAACCTCCAACTGGCCCTAGAAAAGACAAAGGCCTGATCCATAGGGGCGGTCCTGGAGGGAACCCTTCAAAGACCAACATGGAGGGCAGATGAGGAACGATTTGAAGACTGGTGAGTGTCTCAGTCCATTTTATGCTGCTATAACAGAATAGCTGAGGCTGGGTGATTTATAAAGAACAGAACTCTATTTATATTAAAAAAATGTTTTGGCAGGTAGAGATAGGGTATCACTATGTTGACCAGGCTGAACTCCTGACCTCAAGTGATGACCCTGTCTTGGCCTCTCAGTGCTGGGACGATGGGTGTGACCCATAGCACCTGACCAAGAACAGAGACTATTTCTACTTCTTCTTCTTATTTTTTTTTTGAGACAGAGTTTTGCTCTTGTTACCCAGGCTAGAGTGCAATGGTGCAATCTCGGCTCACCACAACCTCCGCCCCCTGGGTTCAGGCAATTCTCCTGCCTCAGCCTTCTGAGTAGCTGGGATTAAAGGCACGTGCCACCATACCCAGCTAATTTTTTATATTTTCAGTAGAGACGAGGTTTCACCATGTTGACCAGGATGGTCTCGATCTCTTGACCTCGTGATCCACCCGCCTCGGCCTCCCAAAGTGCTGGGATTACAGGCTTGAGCCACCGCGCCCGGCCTGAGACTATTTCTTGTAGCTCTAGAGGCAGGGAGGTCCAAGGTCAAGAGGTCTGCATCTGGCAAGGGCCTTCTTGTTGTGTCATCCTATGGTGGAGAGCAGAAGGGCAAGACGGCACAAGAGAGATCCATAGGGCACCAAACTCACTTTTATAACATCCCACTCTCTCAGTAACTCACTCTGATGATAACCACATTAATTCATCCACGTGGGCAGTGGACCCTTGACTGAATCCCCTCCTAAAGGTCCCACCTCTTAACACTGTTGCACTGGGGATTGAGTTTCCAATATGTGAACTTTGGGGGCCATATGCAGACCCTAGCAGTGGGTCCTTGCACTTCCCTCAAAATCTGCCATGTAAGTAATCAAAGATTCCACTGTTACCCAATGTGCACACATTCCCCAAGCCCACATGCCCCCATTCATACCTATATACACACCCTCTTGCAGAGCTGGTGGTAACTCTTTTGATCACATTCAGATATTTCACAAGTGTCTCAGGGAATGACCAATTGACTGGTCTCTGAGAAATTCCACAGACCTTTGCAAAAATAAAACACCTATAAAAACTCTGTCATTTCATCGTAAAAATCCTAATAAATTTTGGTGCATATACGTACACAGTAGAATATTATTTAGCCACTAAAATGACACAAAGTTTAGATAGCAAGATAGAAAATATTCACGACTATAGTTTTAGACTAACCTCACTCCAGCATAGATATAGTATAAATATTACAGCATATCATTATGCACTGCATAATGATGTTTTGGTTAACAATGAACCACGTATAGGGTGGTGGTCCTATAAGATCAGAATGCTCTGTTTTTACTGTAGCCTTTCTATATTTCGATACTTTTAGGTATACAAATACTTACTGTGTTACAATTGCCTACAGTGTGTAGTATAGTAACAGGCTATACAGGTTTGCAGCCTAGATCAACAGGCCACCCCATGTAACCTAGCTGTGTAGTGAGCTATGCCATCTAGGTTTGTGTACGCACACTCTGTGATGTTTGCAAAATGACAAAATTGCCTAACGATGCATTTCTCAGAACATGTCCCTCTTGTTAAGCAACACGTGACTGTAGTTATCATATTGGTTAATGGGATTTTATTGGATTTGCCCTTTATGTTTTCCAAATATTTTTAGAAATTACTTTACATTGGTTGGGCACAGTGGCTCCCACCTGTAATCCCAGCACTTTGGGAGGCTGAGGTGGGTGGATCACTTGAGATCAGGAGTTCGAGACCACCCTGACCAACATGGAGAAACCCCGTCTCTACTAAAAATACAAAATTAGCCAGGCGTGGTGGTGCACACCTGTAATCCCAGCTATTTGGGAGGCTGAGGCAAGAGAATTGCTTGAACCCAGGAGGTGGAGGTTGTGGTGAGCTGAGATTGCACCATTGCACTCCAGCCTGGGAAACAAGAGCAAAGCTCTGGAAAGAAAGAAAGGAAGGAAGGAAATAACTTTACACATATCAAAATTAAAATATTAAAATTAAAAACAGTGTCTTTTTTGCTTGTCTATATCCCAGTCATGTGGGTCTTTCGGCTCTCGCCTCAAGCAGCTAGAGGAGGAGCAGGGGGCCATGGGCACAGCCTCATGTGTGCAATGTGACAGACGTGGGGATGACAGGAGCAGAGGAAGAAACCATGGTAAAGTCACAGTGGTAACAATGACAGCAAGCCACCTTGCTCCAGCTTCATACGCCACGGGCACTAGGCTAAGCATGTTGTTTACTCTGTACCTCATTTTCCCCACAGAGGGAGAAACTGAAGTTCCAAGAGGTTAAGGAGCTTGTCTGAGGCAGCAGGGCTGGCCAATGACGGAGCAAGGGATCGAACCGGGAGTAACTCCAGAGCCCTTGCTCTTAACCACTTGAATGAGGCCAACAATTTCACAAATATTAAGCCATTATGTTTTCATTGCTCCCACAGCCTTTCAGCTGCCACCTCTAGGTGTGAGTCAGGCGGCTGAAGATCCCAGGGCAGGCCAGGGCAGGCCATTGACCTTGTTAGCGAGGCAGTAGGGGAGCGAGCTCACCCCAGTTCCCATCCCCCCCCAGAGTATCAACAGCAGGCCTGCCCAGGAGACACACAGACGTCTCGAACAGAGGTAGGGTCAGGAAGAGGAAGGGGAGAAACGCCTGCTCACCGGAGACTAGAAGACTGCTGAAGACATGCTCTTTGGGAAGGGTGGGATAGCGTGGCGGAGAGAAGTCAAGGGAAACCCCGGGGCGGGGCTCTTGAGTCCTCTTCACATGTGACTCTGGGAAGTGTCACCAGCAGAGGCCCGAGCCTGCAGTCCACCTGGTTAAGGGATGGAGCGGCGTTCTCGTGAGGACCACGCCATCCCCAAGCAGCCCTCAGTTACCTGTGTGGTGGACGCTGTGGTAGGTATGAAGTGTGACCTTCTGGATCCAGACAAGGTGACCCCATGGTTGAGGGTCAGGATGGAGTCTCCAGGACAGAAGCCAGACAGAAGGAGGCAGAGGCCAGATGGGTCCATGGGAGCTGAGGGGACTTTGAGTCAGTGCTTCCTGTGAGCCAGGCCTTGCCTGGCAGGAGGAAGTGAGGCTGACTCCCTGCAGAGCTCAGCATGGTGCCACTGCTAAGACCATAGCAGCCAGAGGGGCACAGGAACGCTGCCACCCCTCCAAATCACTGGGAGCCTCCCAGAAGCTGACACGCCCACCCAGAGGAGAAGCTGCACGAGGCCGACCCGGATGACCTGATGATTACCTTCAGATGCTGTTGATTCTGTAGCCTACTCAACTACCAGATGAGACTTATATATTCACTAATAGGTGGGGTTTGCGAGGCAAGCCAGATCTCTACGCTCCCGCCAACTCTCTGTGAGTTGCATGGAAATTAACAAAACCAGAACCTGCAGCAATGCAGGTGATCTTATTCCGAGTCAGGAAAGTGACGGTAAAATTTAAGGGACCAGGCACCTCCTTCCAGGAACACAGACATACCTGAGAGCCCCAACGAGCCGTGGCATGGAAAGGTGGGAGATCGGGAGTTTCCGGGTCCTGTGTATCCTTGACCTCACTGAAATTTCTTCCTGACCTGCTGCCTTCATCCTTTTGTGGGCTCTGTGGGACAAATACATCAGTTCCCAGGCCAGGACAGCCTTCCGAGGACTGGAGGCTCATCCCAACCTCCTCGCTGGGGCTCAGGACAGGCTGTGTGGAGCTGAGGCTGGTCCTCAAAGTGAGGTGGTGTTGGAACCTGGGGGACTTTCAAGGGAGTTTTGTGCGAAAGGGAAGCGATGCCATCAGACTCCTCCTGCGGCTGAGCCAGAGTGAATTATTAAGGAGCTGAAGGAAGCCAGGGCTTAACTAAAGGAGCTCCACGTCTATCTCTTTGAATATTTCAAGCAATCTGGGCCTATTTTGGGAAGAGAAATTTCCTTCGCTGTCTGAAAGACAAGCAGAGAGCCCTCCAGCACTACACTCACAGAGGGCAGTTCTCCGTCAAGGGAGGCCTGCGTTTCACAGCTGGGATCCAGGCTCACAGAAAGCTGCTTACTGCTCCAAAGCTATTTTTAAAGTGCGACACTCAATATGTCAGTGGCGGAGGGAGGGAGCGAGGGTAGGGGGTGAAATGGCTGAGGCCATCCAGGTCCGTGAAGGAATCTCACTTTCCTGGGAAGCTGAAGTCACTCATTTGGCTCTTGCCTGACACCCCCAGATCTCCATTTTAAACCCTGAAAATAAATACCCAGCCTTGTGTTCAGAGCTGATGGTGGGGCCATGAGCCAGAATAGAATGTGATAATTTAGTTTGCCCCTCTTTGGTTTAATAGATGCTGTGCCTGGCAGCTTAGTTCCATGTTAAAAACAAAAATTAAAAATATTTAAGAACCGGTCTTTGTGTTCTGTTTACAACCGTTTATTTTTTATTTTTTATATTTTTAAAATTTATTTATTGTACTTTAAGTTCTGGGGTACATGTGCAGATCGTGCAGAATTGTTACATAGGTATACACGTGCCATGGTGGTTTGCTGCACCTATCAGCCCATCATCTACATTAGGTATTTCTCCTAATGCTATCCCTCCCCTAGCCCCCCACCCCCTGCTATTCTTCCCCTAGTCCCCCTCCCCCAGGCCCCAGTGTGTGACATTCCCCTCCCTGAGTCCATGTGTTCTCATTGTTCAACACCCACTTATGAGAACATGTCGTGTTTGGTTTTCTGTCCCCGTATCAGTTTGCTGAGAATGATGGTTTCCAGTTTCATCCATGTCCCTGCAAAGGATGTGAACTCATTCTTGTTTCCTTCCAACATCAAGCTTCCTTTCTCCCTTGTGGCAAAATAAAAAGTAAAATAGTATAGCCATGTCTGGCATCTGCACACTTCCTCCATGAAGAGTTGCCTTTTCCCAATTACTTGCCAGCACTGGCTTCTAGTAAAGCCCTCTGGACCAAGTCCCCTAGGAAATGGAAAACATACATGAAAGAGCTTTGTCAACTGTGAAATGTCCTGCCAGGAGGAGACCTAGCAACTCTCCAAGTCACTTCAAACTGATATTTTTACAATGTATTTTCCATTTATTTTATTTCATTTTGGAAGTTTACTTTTAATTGTTTAATTTCAAACTGCCTTTGCTTTGTAAGGGGACCAGGTGCGTGCTTGACAAACAACTATTTTTATCATTATTAGCACTGCCATTCAAGCTATTTTTTTCCTATATAGCACAAAAGGAAAAATGACACTTTATACATGTCTCCTACTGAAACACATGACTGGTCAATCTAAGCATACGTCTGGCTGTCGCTTGGTTGATCGATCGATCGACTGATTGATTGATTGAGATAGGGTCTTGTTCCGTAACCCAGGCTGGAGTGTAGTGGCACAAGGGAGAAAGGAAGCTTGATGTTGGAAGGAAAAAAGTTCTGTGCATGGAGATACCTAGATACAAAGGTGTTTGAAATCAAACTTCCTTGAAGTCAAAGAGAAAGTTATGTGTAAGACCCAGAGTAACTTCTGATTCAAGGTGAACTTTTAGAATGTGAGAGGGAGACCCGGATTAGACTAAATATTGATAGGCAATGGCTTATTTTGCAATAAAGACCCTCACTAATCATAAGTTCTTTATCTGATTTCCAGTGAGAATTACTTTAGTGAATAATCAATGCAAAACAAAACCAACACCAGCTAAAATTTCACATGGTAAACTTTGAAAGAATCATTATCTTGGGCATAAAAAACCGACCTGGCAAAAACAAACAAACAAACAAAACAAACAGAGACTTGTTAAGAAATAGTGGCCACCAAAGAAAAGTCACAAAGGTCAAGCTAGAATGGAAAACTGGTGAGGGTGAGTAAATGGAAGACTGAAGTGTTTTGTCATTTCTCTACATCTTATCTTGATTAAATTTTTAAAAATAAATATAGAGATCAGAATGGGGTTGTTGAAGACTTCTTTTGGTAGACATGTTTTGGGCTTAGTCAAGGTGAAAGGATGCCCAGGCACTGCCATTCAGAGATCTCTGCACTGCTCGGGGGCATCTGGAAGGAGTCTCTTCCTCATGGCTCTGTCCAGCTTACCCGTGCAGGTGAGACCCAGAATGGGAACTGCTTTGAGGCAGCTGACCAGTGGGATCCTTGGTCAGGATCTGACCTGGGGCAGCTGGTGGTGGCTGGGGCTGAGGGCCGGGATGAGTGTGGAGATGGTGGCACACTAGAGACCGAGCAGAGAGGGCAGCCTCGCTGGTAGACTGGGTGTGGGGCCCGGCAGGGAGGAGCCAGGCTTCCTTTCCCTGTTCTTGGGACATCCTGTCTCCTGTTCTTTCTTCCTGCCCTTGAAGACCCTCCTGTTGCTTGTGTTATTTTTCTCTCCTGTGGTCCAGACTCCAGGACTTCTCCAAGCCAGGAACTATGGTGATGGATAGACGGCAGACAGGGCGAGAGGAGGGACTTTCCCTGCAGACCCTTGGGAACTTAGTGCCAGGGGAGGGGGCTCTGACTCCCTGACCCGGTGGGCACAATGGCAGGAGCAGACAGATACCCTCATGTCATTTCCAGATTTGAGTCAGGGAGTATCTGAATGTGTTTATCCTTTAGAAATGTTTCTAGGGGGTGTCTCCCGGCCTCATAGAGCTTTGTTTCCTGTAAAATTCACCTCCTACATGTTAAAAATTAAAGCCAAGCAAATAATTTCAACCTCAGTAGAAATAACAACTTCAACAAATGTTCTTGCATGGACCACCACATGCCCAGAATCCCTCAAGGGCACCTGGCCACTGGTCCTGCCAAATTCCCCCTTCCCTGCCCAGCCTGCCCCTAGGTGGCCCCACAGTTGGTCACTCCTGGAAGAGACTCCACAGGAGTGTTGGGAATGCTGGCCTGGGCGGGTTCAGTCAGCATTGCTCCTAATGGAAAGCGTGTTCTGAACTTAAATATATATATCCTCAAATATTTCCCATGATTCCCGGGCCCCCACCCTCACCTTGTGGTGTCCTTTCTGCTGTGAGTCCTTTTTCCTCTCTCAGGCAGAGACTGTATTTGAGCAGAGTGCCTGACACATAACAAGGGCTTGGTAAATATTGACAGAAAAGGAAAAATGGAAAGAAGAAAAGGAGGGAGGGAAATAGGAGAGAAGGGAAAGAAAGAAAAGCAAGGCAAGGCCTGGGAAGATTTGCAGAAGTAATGACAGCTTTTTAATTTTTTATTTTTTGAAGACATAGTCTCACTCTGTCACCCAGGCTGGAGTGCAGTGGTGTGATCTCAACTCACTGCAACCTCCGTCCTGTGTTCAAGCGATTCTTCTGTCTCAGCCTCCCAAGTAGCTGGGATTACAGGTGTGCACCACCACACCTGTCTCATTTTAATTTTTTTAGTAGAGAAGGGATTTCGCCATGTTGGCCAGGCTGGTCTCAAACTCCTGACGTCAAGTGATCCGCCCACCTGTGCTTCCCAAAGTGTTGGGATTACAGGCGTAAGCTACCAAACCCAACCAGTAATGACAGCTTGTAATGGTGAAAAACAAGAGAGAACAAGCTGAGAAAACTACAGCAAGGGCTGGAGAGTGTGGCCCTGATGTGTGGCTTTCGCACGTGTATATTTTAGCTTCTCTCTTTTTTACATCCCTGGGGAAGTTTTAACTTCATTCTGTTAAGCTTAAATGCTTTTATGAGAACTATACTAATCTAATAATCCCTTATCTAGAAAATGTTTTATGAAAATACCCCAGATGTATAATAGGGAGTAGAATGGAATCTGCTGGGTAAAGGTGGGCTGTATACATAATTTTAAAGAAAAGAAAAAGAGAAAAATGTATTTTCTGGAGCAAATTAAACCAATTTAATTTCTTGATCTTCTTGATTATTTTTAATAGAATAACATTTAGCAATTTCCATTTTTGCTGCTTATCTTCATTGGGACCAAATCTTTTCCACGCACCATGAAATTGCACCCATTATGATGGGTTTTTCTTTGTGGCCACTATTTCTTAACAAGTCTAATTTTTTCTTTCTTTACCTTTTTCTTTACCTTTTTCTTTGTGGCCACTATTTCTTAACAAGTCTAATTTTTGCCAGGACAGTTTTTTTCTATTCTTAAGATGTGGTTTTTTAAAAGTTTATCATGTGAGATTTTAGTTGTTGGTTTCACTTTGCATTGATTATTCACAAAAGTAATGCTCATTGCACTGGATATAGGACTGATTATTTGTTTTTATTTTTTATTGCAAAAAGAAAAGATAAAGAAAAGGCATGTTCCATAGTGAAATGTCAGGAAGCTTTGTTACATTAAAGTAGTTGTTCAGAATGTGGAAAAGCCTACAGATAGAAAAAAAAAAAAAAAAGCATCCTTAGTTTCCAGGGGCAGGTTCTTAAATAAGGAAGGATTTTCTCCAATAAGGGGAAGGCCCTTCACAAGAAGCAGAGGGAGACCACACAGGGAAAGGGGTTGTTGGACACCCCAGAGACCTCAAGCCACTTCGGAAGAACTGTCCCACTGGGGCTTAAATTAAAATGTTCAGATTGGGTCTTGGCACATTTAACTAAGTGTGGAGAGTAATAGTGTGCCTTTAGGTTTTGGAAGCTGAGAACTTACTTAGTGAGCCTTCTATCCACCTGTAGACCTTTCATTTTAGGAAGTGAACAAGAAAAAAAATGAACAAATGCAAAAAATACACATAGCAATTAATGC